TCATCTAGAAATTGGCTTCCAAATCTTGCAGTACCTCAAGTATACCTTAGACCACAAGATATTGTACAAACAAGTAAATTCATTACAGATGCCACGTGGGGTTCTTGTCAGGACACATTCAAATCTACATGTGCTTACGTATTTACACTTGCTGGAGGGGCAATATCATGGTGTTCTAAGAAGCAGAATCTTATCTCACTCTCTTCTACAGAAAGTGAATATAAAGCCTTGTCCTTTGGTGCACAGGAATCTATTTGGCTACGTCAATTTTTACATGAAATCAATCCAGTTACAATTGCAATGATACCAACTCCTCTTTCCTGCAAGTACATCAAGATCATTTCTGCACTTCCCACTTCCAGTTCACTAACTGAATGCACAATAGTTCACTGAGACAATTAGAGTGCTATAAAACTTGCAAAAAATCCAGTATTTCATGCAAGGAGCAAGCACATTGGTATCCATCATCATTTTGTCAAGAAATGATAGCTTTGAAGGAGATTGAAGTTAGATTCCTCTCCACAAAATTACAGCCAGCAGATATGCTGACCAAGGCTCTTCCTAGGTTGAAGTTTACTGAGCACAGGCATTATCTTGAACTACGAAGTCTAGAAACTCCACTTGAAAAACACTACACTATATGTACAAGCACTACTAGTGAGTAAAACAGTCTTCCTGATAACAAATCAGAAATTCCAACAGTTCGGTCATGCTTGGAGCTATGTAACCTTCCGATCCCATCTTTTCTAGTGAAATTTTTTTTCATATTGAGATCCTCTTCTTTACGTACATATTGATCTCCGTGAACCTAGTCGATCAGTTCCTCATACGGCACTTTGTTTGTGGTCAACGTATTCCCAGATTGATCTCCTGGTCTCTTAGCTGATGTAAATTTCTTCGTTTCTCCAACAGTCGCTTAGAACTTCCCGTAGGCATGCTGCTAAATCTCCTGCCGACTGAGTATTTTTACGTGCTTCAGGCCGATAGGTGCTCAATATACATTTCTTGTATGCTCACTGAATACGCTTCTGACTCGGATGATTATCAGCAAGAATTGAACGCCAGAATCTTCACTTCAGCTCAACGTTATGGCACCAATTTCAATTTTATTCCTTGTCGTCGAAGTACGAATTTGATCGATGCTGCCAGTGACTCCTTAAACCGGATGGATGATGGTTGTGATTTTAGTCGCTGGCGGAGGACATATGAGAACTAAGACCCCAACTCCGCACTCTTCATATGCTTGTGGGCCTTCCTGAGCACTTTCTTCGGAGGAGCAAAAGTGCCCATTACTGTGACCATGGCATCTGTCCAACCGTCGATTCGCACTTCATTTACCCCGTCCCAAAAAAAAGGTTTTGTTTGTCAGGGACTTTCAAAAGTCTACACAGTATTTAGTTTGGGCCATCGAACTGAGAAACTTAGGAATTCCTGCAGCATCATCTGGAACACTTCCCAAATCTCTCCAAGTGGTAGTGGTACACTGTTTCAGAGTAGTGAGACTCAGGGGCATGGCAATGGACAGAAGAGGATTAGAAGTAAAACACATCTGAGAACAACTCTCTCTCCAGCCTTCTCTTGCCATCTTCACACCAGGTCGTTAATTTCAGACGTACCATACCCATACATATACAGTTCTTATCGTTAGTACAGTGAGCTACAAAGCTGCGAAGATTAAGTAATATTACACTAATAGTTTCCAGCAGGTTGACACAAGCACAAGCAGAACTAAGCTTCGCACCAACAGTCCTTGATCAATTGCCATAGCACATGTTCCAATTGGTAGAACCTGAATAGCTGCTATTCAGTTATACACTCCAACGAACTTATGCTGCCAGGAGGAAAAATAGTTGTCACACAGTATTGCGACTTTAACATACATGGCAAGGTGGCTGATAGCAAGGTTGAAAATACTCTAATTCCTGCCTCAAGGAGTATGCAGAATGCGACTCTGCCTCATGAAGGGCTCGGTTGTCTACAAACCATGCGCTTCTGCAGCCTCCAGTATATAATAAATTACAGTTCCTGTAGTCAAATGGCTGCAAAAACGTTTGAGCTTTGAATATCCGCTGTTACATGGCTCTCACTGTCCCTATGACCTATAGCTGATGATTATTTGAGCAGCAAAATATTCAAGTAATGTTCGTACAACTTGTTGGCAGACTGCCAACTATCGTGCACACAACTGCTGATTCGAAAAAGTGTTATATTAGAATTGGAAATCGAATCGATCGACAAATGAGAGGTGGTCATACTATTCCTTGGTAGTTTTTACACCCTAAGCAGTCTGCAATTTCAGTCTGCCAGCTTTTACGGATCAGTAAACCTGTGCCTTGCAATTATGAGATTTCTTTGATGGGTATCTGTAAAGCCCATCATTCCTGGATGAATTGACAGGAGCTGAAGCAACGTTAATGATCAGATTAGGGTGGGCACCTCCAGAAATAAGTTTACAGGGCAACTTCAAGAAGATTAACGTGCGCGAAAGATGAGATATAAGACTTCATTTGGATTGAATCATCGACAGCATATCTTAGTCAAAGGAATATCTCGAGGATTGGATAGATGGCCATGGATCACATGGGAGAAGTTCGTTCGAAGACGTTTCCAAATTGTAAGGCATTAAAAGCTTAAACAAACATGATCAATAAACATCAGATTAACTAGCTCATGTGTAAAGACCGTTGTGTTAATTGAACCACCACAACTAACTGCAGGTTTGAAAACTGCAGCTGTGATGCAAATATTTGTATTGAAGTAAGATGGTGATCTATCGACAAATATATGAAAAAAATGAGTGCTTTTGTCAGCATGTCTTTGTTAACAATGTCGTTGGTATAGATATCATATGGAGTAAATTTCACAACCTACGGCTTTCGAAACGATTGGGAATGAATTCTTGTGAAACAATTGCTTCTTTTGTATCCTAAGGGACTCCAAGAATGAGATTCGAAGGTTCAAATGCTTAGGATTCAGACAGATGATGGCTGGTATTGCTGCAAAACTCATGATATGCATACTCCTCTATTATCTTCGAAGTTTCGGTAACAGCTCGAAAGAGTCCCTACAATCCTAACATGATGCTATAACTTATATTGTTCTGGCTACCAATTTGTCTTAATACTCCGGTATCATCCATCTACTCATTCTAATGTAGGATTGTCGCAGATTCTACAATATATTCAAGTTAAATTACAATAATTTTCGATTCTATGCGTTTGAAGCCAAAGGGAACCGTTAAGTCACATCAAACATAAATTCCCGATGATTTCTACAGACATTACCAATCTTCCTCAGAGGTACTCATGATTATCGGCAAACTATTGTTGTGACTGTTTCATACTTTTATAGCTTATGTCCAAGGTTCTGTTTGCGTATGGATTCAGTGTACTCTGCAGTCCAATATCATTATCAATGACAGGTATGCCCAATAAGGCACATTCGAAGCTGGTTTCATCTATTTCGAACTTCTCTACTTTTTTCTCTCAGTGCCTAAACAGTGCGGAATTGTGGTTGACAATTGACTAGAGTGTTGATGGTTTAGGAAGTTTAGCTCAATTCTAAACATCATTTGAAATAGAAATGATAGTAAGGACAGGATGTGTTGTTTCGAACTTTTGGAGTCTCAAATATCAACCATTTTGTAGTATTATCATATAATGTCAGTTCTGGGTATTAATTATGACATATATTGGGCAGTTTTAAAAGATCTCAACTATACGGCTAGCATCATAAAGGTTTGGATATTTGATTTTTGTATATACTTAAAGGATTTCCGAAATCTGACAGAACTCTAAACATACACACACAAATGGATAAATAAATAATAATTAGAATTTTCTAAAGGCTTGTTAACTTCGATTATCAATGTTGTCTATTAGTATGGCATAAATCATCCAATGGATTTAAATGTACGGTTGATTCCACGTTGGTTTGCCGTGGAACTCATCATGCAACAAGCAAAGTTTGCTATCTCACTAATTTAATTTCTAGATCTCTTGCTTCTGTTGAAGCCTATGATCTGTTGTGTCACAAATCTCAGCTTTAGTTTCCGCGTATCTGGAATCTTCAAAGAATTTCGCTCAAGATCAAGACGTCCAATAGGAAGATATGCTCAAGCCATTTGAGTGACCGAGTTTCATGAACTTTCCAAACAGAGGGTTTTTTTGCTTCTGTTTTGTCCTTATTTGGAATAATAAATAATCATTTTTTCATAAAGTATTATAGTACTTTAATTCTGGATGTTCGATGCATCATTTTTTGTATTTTTCAGTAAAGATTGTGAGCTAAAAAAGCTGCACAGATTAACAAGAAAGTTATACACTTAAGACAATTCAAACAAAAAAAAGGTCCCACAATGAATGATACCACGTTAAGATGATCATTACATTGAATATTGATCTCAGAAGTCAGTACATATCAGTCAGTAGTACTAAATTGCAATTTTCCTTGCAGTTGTTAATTGATAAATTGTTTAAATTTAAGAGTTTTGTGAACAATAATCATCAGATAAGTGTCTCCAGGTGTAAAAATTGTAGGTACTGATGTGCAGTTAGAACAACAACATCTCTTTGTGATTTATTGTTAAGAATTGCTACGGATTGAGTGATTGTTACCATTCTACTTTATTTCAAGTTAGAGTAATCTGAGAAATAAAAAGTAAGACGAAAAAATAAACGAAGTAAATGGAACAACACACGTACACGAGATAAAGCACATCACATATTTTTGGAAACGAGTGAGGCTTTTGAGGTGAAAGTTATTAGGAGGTAAAGCTTCAGGTATTCTTTAGCATACTAGAAATACTTTGTCCCAATACTGAAATCGGAAGTGACCCAGTTGTCATATGGTATAGTGCACTACGAATCTCGCAGCCTTGGAGCTCAACATAATGCATTCATTTTGTGTCATAAATAACAGAAACCGCAAGCTAGTACCATCGAGGTAAACAATGTGCCTTTGTGCACGACAACTCTCAAACTTCATTGAGGGCGGAATGCCTGGGAATGTAAAGTAAAGCAATATGGTACAACAGTGGAAACAGGTGGACTTTATAAATTCGCACCATCTTTGTTGTCAAATAATGAACAACAGGGGATAGCAATCTTTACATAACTTTGGCGAACAAGTCGTGTCATTGAATCACTTTTTCCAGTCATGCCCTTCTAATATCGTTGCACAACCACACGGTAGATGTTTAGGTATGGGTTTCCTCGTGTATTTGGTCCCTGTGACCAGTTTCAGAATCAGGAGATTTAAAACAGAGACATTGGCAGTCCCCAGCTTGTCGTTGTGTCGATTGCTCATACTGCAGGACGGACACTGCTAGAAGTGGGAAGAATTCGATCAGAGTATCCAGAAGCACTGGCATGTTGTCCACGTCTTGGAGTTGATACAAATTGAGCATTGCACAGCTTTATGATTGGAGATGGAACTCCTCGAAACGTGATCAGCAATAGCTGGTGGCGTCTACTCCACGGGGAGCATAACCTCATTCGTGCGCAGGAATCCGAGCGTCCACGGGGGATTATACCTCGCAAGGATATGGGGGCCGGTGATCTTGTAGCCCTTCTCCTGCAAAGCACTGGTCAACTTGCCGAGCATCTGCTGCGAAAGAGTGTCATCTGCAACTCCTGAGAAGGTCAGAACCCCGTACTTTCTCGCAGGAACCTCCTTGACAGAAACTCTGTCATCGGTAGGCTTGGGAACATTGTCCATTCTGTATTGAGCGGGCAGAAGGAACTGCATGGTCACGAGCTTCTTCTGTTGATCGGCTTCGCCGGCTTGAGTCTCTTGAGTGATGACAGGTGCTGTCATGGCAATCTTCTCAGGCTCTCCCTGGGTTTCTTGAGTGATAACTGGAGCGGTCATAGCAATTTTCTCCCCTTCTACAACTCCTTGATCTGATACCTTGGTGTTGTTCGGCTTTCCCACTGCACCAATATAGCCTGCAAGAATCATGAACCCACCATCTCTGCCCTGCTTCAAGGTCGTGGGGTCGTACGTGACTTCCGCAGCTAAACATTCCGGATACTCTCGGATTTCATAATTTTCTCCTTTCTCAATCACTCTGTGCTTGGGAACTTCGACGTCAATTTTCCCGATGACTGAACCCATGAATCTGCCCTACAAATCGGCAAAGAGGGAGATGACTGTTTTACACGCTTGCCTGCAATCAATCCAATCGAAACCACGAAATCAGTGCAACTGGCTGAACCCCATCCATGATAGAAAGCATCTAAAACGCGAATTCTACGCCGTAGACCAAATAGGCATTCATGTCGGAATCACCACCAGAACGACATCGAACGTCCAGGAGGCAGATTGTCACCAGATGCAGAAGGGAGACACGCTCAGATCTAACAATCCCAAGCTAGCAACGAGCGATTCAACTCACTCAAAGCGAGCAGTTAGTAGTCACAGCACGATCACAGCTCCACGCAACAGCTGTGGAGCAAACATGCAAAGCTGCTCCCAATTCAAGTACCGATCTAGTCTAGATCACTGACATGACACAAGCTGGCCGAGCTTCTCACCCTTCTCAAGCTCTCTCTCTTCCTGACCGTCCTGCGTCCGAGCTCCGTGAGAAAACAGTTTTGCAGAAGCAGCACCACGATGTGTACACAGGCGAAGAATGTTCACCGATGTGACCATCTCGTTGCTTGATGCCGAAGATAGTGCTCACGCTGACTGCACAAGGCAATCCTTCGCTTTTCAGAGAGATGTGTGGCAGAGAGCGAGACGATCGTCGTGGATCTGTCACAAGCGGCCACGTGGTGCTCTCCCGGAGCTGCCAACTGCACCATCCCTGTCCTCCTGGGCTTGTTTCCAGTCTCGTTGTGTAGACCTGCTGGGATTGAAATGGCTCGATTCTTGTGTGACTGTTCTGATGTCGGGGAGCAGGATGTTCTCTTGGATCCTTTTCTTACTTTTCGATCGGTACTGCCTGCTCCGTCTCTGCTGTGCCTCATCAATCAGTAACGTGCTGACAGAAACCATGTCGACGACTGTGCCATAGGATAAGCCATCCAGTTCGGTAGTACCATAAGAACGAGCGAGAAACGACGGACTAGAAAAGGTCGATGAAGAAAACTTCACTCGCTTCTACAAGCACAGATGCTCTGCGACATAGTGATCAATTCCTATCTCGATCTGGTGCGGTTTTCATTGTTCACTCCTCGGTGCAGCATTTTCTTCTTACTGAAGTTAGTTGAGCCTCAGTTGGCATCTAGCGAAATACACATAGAAGCATCGACACGATACAACTTCTCTCTAGTGCATACTAAATGGACAATCGAGTCAATTTTACTTGCTTTCTATATCCTAACCTGCTGCTGCTCTCCATGAAGCAGGTTTGTGTTCTCGTGGCACTTCTTTATTTCGAAGCATCACATGCGAAAAAGGACAAAAGGGAGATCCATGGCATGAACTTACTAACCAATACAAAGACCAAATCACAAAGCAAAAGCCAAAGCAATCAAGGAAATCCATCGGGGGCCAAAACAGAGGAGAGAACTCATAACTGTCGTGAGGAAAGGGGGCGCCTTCAGTTCGGGCTTTTGAATGGGGAGGTTGATGATCTCTAGCTTCACACAGCAGATGTGTACTTTCTGGAGCGTTTCGTTACTTGGAGCAGAACAGGGATAATGTCAAGTCATGAAGCGCGAAAATAAACACAGAAGAAAAAGTTGATGAAGTCCTTAGTCTCGATGTTTTCTGCACTTTTTTAGGGTGGATTTGGATGCTTCTTTTTTTCTACTGTATGTTACTCGGGGAGTGCTTCGCAGGTTGTTTGAAGCTCTCAGGACCCCATCAGGCTACACGACTACGGATACATGGACTGGACATGGTAGACTATACCAATTGCCATCTACTTCACACACAGGGCCATGCCCATGGAGGTCAGAATCTCCACGCTTCGTTCCGACCAACATGGTGTGACCTCGAGGACCATTAGGAGGAGGTGATTGGAGGATCATGGACCTCGATCCCAGTATGAGTTCTGTCCTGCATAATCTCTACAGCAAGAGATTGTAGCACGTTTTTCATTGAAATCGTGATTACAAAACAACGTACTCGATGACTTTGGGAACTCTTGGATCATTCCTGATTACTCGATGCTCTCTATTTCTAAAATCTTATATGTAATTTGGTTCTTACTGTTAATGAAACATTTTGTCTATGCATACATGAGGTTGAATCAGGGTAATTATTACTGTATAAATAAATTAAATTCATCAAAGGCTATGATGCCAACTTGATAAAACTAATAATATTACAATTGTAATCAGGTGAGGGGAAAAGTCATGAGGTCAAACATAGACGAGTAACTATTTGCAATATTATTTAAAAAAAATTTCTTAGTTGATATTCAAATTAACTAACTCCTGCATCACTTAAGACTAAATTCTGAAGGAGACATGCAATAATACGGATAATTAACACAGAAAGATAAATGTTATAAAACGAAATACTGAAGAATCATTATCTATCAAATCAAAAAATTCTAGTAGCCTACTACTATTTATTGCAATAAAACATTTATTCTCTTATAAGTCACTCTATATTCAGTTGATAACATTTAATGAGTTTCGATGAGTTTCGATTCAATGCATATATTTCAAGTCAGTATAACGCGCAGCATCAATTATTTTAGTCCAACTGAAAGCAACCCGTAATCTATGCCTTGACTTAATATATATTCGTATTTTCATTACCATGTTTGCTTTCTTCACTTTCCAAGCTGTGAGTATTGAAAGTGATCCATATGGCATGGCAGCGAGCCCATGCGAAAACCTGCTCTTGTTACTAGAATTGTATACACGAGGCTTGAAGTTTTGTGAAGATGCATTGTATTGCTGGATGCATGAAAGGGCGACTCAGTCGACATCGAGCTTTCTGGCACACTCAAGCTTCATAAACTATAGCAATTGATGAGTGTTAGACGATCACAGCTTCCACTCCCTCATTTCCGAGACGAGTGAAATGAGCTCTAGGTCCATAGTCCGGCCATTTCGCATCAATTCCAATTAAAAAACTTCTTGACTGACTCGGGGAGCTGGTCAATCAGGATATCTAGGTCTGAAAGACTTGACGACTTCTTCAGGGGCTTGTTGGTAAAGGTCGTAGTTTGCACTGGCGTAAGGGCCAAAATGGCCGCATCGTCATTATGAACCGACTCGGTAATCTCCAAGTCTTCTTGAGTTTGAGTGCCGTCTTGAGTTTCCGCTTTCTTGGAAATTTCCTCACGATCCTCCAGAAAGTTGTTTGATCCACTAGCATCGTGAGTGGGTGGCTGGTCATGCGATGTTGTTGATCCATCTGCACCTTGTGACGACTTCTTGATGGACTTCGCGTCGGTTTTCCTGCCGATCGGAGGTGCGGATTTGATTCTTTTGTGAAAATTCCGGCGCTTCTTAAGTTCCTTCTCCCTCACAATCTCCAACTCTTTGTTCCAGTAGTTTTGATTTGGATGCAGCCAAGGTCGTTTTTTGATGTGAAACTCCGTGTTGTACCTTTCCTCTGCTGCCCTTCTCTTCTCGGCGTTGATGTCGTAAGGAAACCCAAGCGTATCATGCCTCTGTCCAACAATCATCCACCCACACACATCAACAAGCTCCGAGTTACCGCCAAATCTTTAGAGGTTCCAAGATTTCATTTCTTCCAAGATTGCGCATGATTTTACTCCAGTGTCAAACTGCCCTTGAATTTGATGCGCAGCGACATACTTTTCATGCGAATGCTACTATCTCCCATTCCCACCCCGTTTTCTGAACAATGAAACGAATGAGTTTCCATGACGATGAATTACTAGTGTCCCTGAAACAGTTTGCATGGACTCCTGCAGATGGCCAATTTACATCTTGAAGCTGCTCCAATCTAAGTCGAAGTGGTCATCTACACATAATGGGATAGTCTTTGATACTGGAATTTGAAATTTGGGCTTACAATCCTCTAGCGGTTTGTTGCCGATGCAGACAGAGGACAAACGAGTCAAATTAATCATCATAACCTTCTAGTTACACGAATATCTCTGCAAGCACCAAATCTCCGAAACGACCTGTAACACCATCCTGTACTGATTCCACTCGACAATGTTAATCTGCACAGAAAGACTTGGTCGACAAATTAGGTTATTCCTCTTCCTTAGAACTCGAAACACGAGACCGAACGAAGAGAGAGCTCTCAGGATCTGCACAGCTCAACGAAAGTGAGATTTACAGCAAACTCTACGCAAACTGCACAACTGCGGATCATCAATCATCCCGGATTAGCCATGGACATGGACGAGAGATCTAAACCAGGACGCTTACTGCGGCATTCCGGAGAGCCCGAAGCGGAGGAACCTGTCAGTGTACTCATCCTGAGCAAATCACGACACGTACAATGTAAGCGGAGACATCAGACACGGCATCAGTGCAGAAATCAAAGAAGACGAAGACGAAGACGAAGCAAATCACGAGGAGGTGGTGGCGGCGCCGAGGAGACGACGGTCGAGAACGAGAAGAAATTCGAAATTCGAAATTCGAAATTCCTCGTCGCCGGTCGAGGAAATCAGGACCTGCTGCTGCTGTTGCGCGAAGGGCTCCACGAGCGCTCGCCGTAACACGGCAGCCCGTAGTGGAACGGGCACAAGGACGGGCCGTGGAACGGGCACTGGGCGGAGGATTCAGAGAATTGCACCCGCGACCCGCTCGAGCGCGAGCCTCGCTGGTCGTTATACAGCAGCGTCGTGCAGTCGTCGCACGGCGGACACAACTGGCATCTCTTGGGGCACTGCAAGTACCGCAGGGGAATCCGGTGATCTTGCGGTAGATGACTGTAGCTGTGCGCGACCGAGGGACTCGTCGAGCGAGACTTGCGCCTAGGATTAGGCGACCGAGACCGGGACCGGGACCGAGAAGATCTACGTCGGGGCGGCGTGGGAGATCGAGACCGATTGCCCTCGAGCAGGAGGGCCGAGCGGGGCGGCGACCGAGACCGCCGTCGGGGCGAGCCCCCCGGGGCCGGGAGGGCGTTCCTCGGCGACGACGGCGACGGAGAGCGCGATCTGGGCCTGCGAGACGGGGAGGGGGACCGCGACCGTCGCTTCGGCGCGCCGTACATGGCCACGCCGTGGAAGTAGAGGTCCGACAGCGGGAAGGGCCGGTGCGTTCCGAGCGGGTGCATGAGGTCGAAGGCGCGCCCGTCGTAGGCGTGCGCGCGCTCGGGCGTGATGTGTCCCTTTTTCCGTCTATTGTTCTGTCCGTAAGGGTTAACGAATTTCGGGACAGGGACCTGCAGATGCCGGGTCACATCGGTGTCCGTCCTCCCATAGTAGTAGTCCCCGTGCGCCGGGCTGTTGGGCCGCCCGTCGTTCTGCGACGTGACGTCCGACGCCGACCGGTTGAAGCACGGCACGGGGCCGTCCTGCCGCGCGTGCGAGGGCACCGACGCCACCGTCGAGTGCGTGACGTCCGTGGACGTGTGGCCGTACCAGGGATCCGGCTCCTCGATCCCCTGCCTCCTCCTCTCCATCTCCTCCCTCCTCTCCTCCCTCTCGTCCCTGAACATCTTCGCTCGCCCTCCGCCTCCGCCCGTGCCCAATTCGATCGCGATCGATCAGCCTCGTCGGATTCTCGCAGAGCGATGGTCGCATGCGTCGAAAAGCTTTCCGGGACTCGAATCTCGAATTTCGAATTTCGCTCTCGATTGCTCCGTGATGATCTTCTACCCCGCTTCCGGGCTTCGAATTCGGACGTGTTCCATGTCGGACCTGATTTTGAGAGTCTCGATCGATCGAAAGGGGAAGGAGTTTGAATTTTGAATTTTGAATTTTGAATTGAATCTCCGAGTTGCAGCACCTGCCGTCGACCGAAACGATGCACGAGTTCCTACTTCCTACATCTACCTCTCCTTCATCTTCGGTGAAAGGTTGTATATGCGAACATTTCCGGAATACGCCGATTGAACGTCGTGCCCTTTTCGAGACCCCTCGTTCCTGATTTGTCGGCCTGACGGGATTTGTTTGCCTCGCTTCTCAACGGTTCTCGTAAAGAGGGTAAGCCACATTGGCTGCATAGGAAGTCTCCAGATGCACTGCCTCGCCTTGCTCTGCGAGCTGCCGAGATGGATTTGTGAGCATGAGTCGAGGATTGCCACCACGTCCGGGCTCCCGCTGCAGAGGATCGATTCTGGCGTAATGTTCGTGCTTTGATAGAGCTAAGACGAGGGAATCGGAATGCTGAACTCCTTCGAGGCCGTGGTCCAACTTTCTGTATTATCAATGCAGACCCTGTTGTGCATTGACGGAGCTTGGGATGGGTCTTGGTTCACATCACGGCGCGCACTTGCATATCCTAGCGATTGATGAATCTGTTCCTCGCTCCTGAATTTCTCGGACGACTGACAGACCTCGCAGTGAATTTTAAATTAGCAGATAAAGTTGCAGTCACACCATAAAAAATGCCCAAAGCGTAGCCTGTACCTTCCTTACAGCCATAGGTGGAGGGAGGGAGCTTTGGAGGCTACGCCCATCACAGAAGCTTAGCTGCTGCGCCTGTTTCGAATGAAGCACGGCAACTTCGCTTCGTTCTAACGTCTGTCTGTCTGTCTGCTCTCGACAGGTGAGGATTCGTAGATTCCCATGTGCCTCGTGATGTTGGAACTACAGAAGTATGCGGAATTGTCATTGGAATCAGAGCGCAACCTGATCAGGTGAGGAAATTGCAGGCCTAATTATGCAGGGAGATCACTGGCTGTTCCTCCCTGTAGCCATTCCAACCTGCACAGTCGCTTATCAGCTCCTGGCCTTCTGTTGTGGCGAGTTAGAAGTGAGCAGCAGTCCTCTCAGGCCCAATCTGAGGATATGTCAGGCACAGGCCATGGCTGGCTAGCGAGGACTAGTCAAAATCTGACTGTGGTCAGACATTTGCACTACATGAACTACATTTTCAGGCACAATAACTTGCAATAAGTGTTGTTTTCTGACACCGACCACAACGAACAGGAACAGAAATCAGGCCCTCTCCAGTAAAGACCCATTCTGAACACGAGCCAGAGCCTCCTCTGAGTGCAGTGTCCACGACAGTTTCATGGATCCCACAAGACCACGGAGCCATTCTCTGAGAAGACGATGTAGACTTGCACTCTACGAGAGGGACCTGAATCTGCATCAAAACTGAATCTTCTCACGTATCGTCTACATGCAACCATTGTGTAAGTTTGCAATCTGCGCCTGCCCAGGCTCAAGGTGAAGTGTTGGCTTAAGATATCTTCTGATTCGGGGATCAACTAGCAAAATCACAATCTAAATTCATTTTTTTTTGTCTGTCGTTGTCAGTTAGCTCTTCTCATGCGTCAACTGACGATTATTCTCACCACCTACCTATTCTACAGCAATTTCTGGTTGGAGTGGTCCACTCATGTACATCTCCATCACGCATCTATATTGAGGGATGTTACTTCATCGGCAATAGGGGTCAATATGAAGTAAGTCATTCAAATAAAAGAGAGAGGATGGGAAGGCCCATCAAGATGTACCGGGCATGTAATTTATTTAACTTATTGTTGGCAAGTGATTAGCCTCACTCTTCACACCGTGGAATACTCACTACACCATCTACGATATCCAAACAATCTAATATTAATCGTATATAACATTAGCATATGAAATACTATCAACTGATATGATAACAAGTGTGTGTATATCACTAGCCAAGGTTCTCAATAGAGAATTGGAAACGAATACTTTAAATACAGTACAAAATAGATTGGTTCAGAGCATTGAAAACACGTTTTATAACTAAGATACACTATAAATGTAAATAAGCAATATTTACGTGATATGTGAATCACATGTCGACTCCATAGTTACATATAATTTCATACCGGAGTATAACAAACTTTGTGCATTTGGAGTGTATAACGTAGCAACCTATGTTCATTAGTTATCTGCAATCATTAACGTTAATATTGCGCACTCTTTTACAAACAAATCCCAATTTTGATCCATAGTGCCGTTTAATATATTTATATAAGGATACAAACAACATTCTTCCCATTCAGAGTGTCCATAATAGAATAATATGATAGATTAATATTGTTATGATATGTACAGTCGATGGTATGACTTGTGTTTGACTTTATTGCAAAACTCATAAAAAATGGCATTTAAAAAAAATGCCACCTTTGTGACAATTATAATTGGGTTGATGTCACAATTAAGACTTTTCCTATAGTGACATTTTGGATGTAATTGAAAATATAAGGCTGAAATTGTTAAAAGCTAAAAGCACACATTGCGAAAAGTTTGCGAAGTGCGCAGGGGATGACGGAAGAATGTAATTATTACAACCAAGTAAGCATTACATTGCATTGCCGTCACTATCCTGAAAGTGATTGGAAAGAGAATAATTGGATCTATGTTTTTGAGGCGATTGTGAACATAAATTGAAGTAAGGCATGATCATCTTATTTTCGAAAGAACAGAATATTACATATACAGCGAAAATCTTCTGAAACTCTAATGCCAGAGTTTATAATCCAGACCTAGGATTGAAGAGTGTTGATATCATTCAGGTTTTGAGTAGGAAAACAACTCACGTCTCGTGTATTTTGAAAGTTGGCACAATTGAGTTGAAGTGTAATATACTCATGGTTATCAAAAACCTCCAACTCATTTCTTCTCAAGGGAATAGCGCTCTATGCTTTGAGTATACTCAGGGTGAATAATCATGTGGCCTATTCATGGACTCTTCTAAATTCTCGTTATATATCGGTTTTAGTTGTCCGTTGAACATAACATGAGGGCGGAACCTAACCTAGCCACAACGGAGAAACCACCCTGTCTGACGTTCTCGTGAATAAACTCGATCCTTTATGGTTTCAAGATTGTCACAAAAGTTTTTCAATACAAATGTCACAAATACCACTTTTCAGAAATTTTGGGCGCCACAATCAAGAGAAAAGTGGCAAAAGTAGCAAATGCCACTTTTGATGAGGTCTGCTTTATTGGGATCATCCCTAAATTTGATTCAGGATCTTCAAGTTACCCTTTGCGTAGATAGTTACTATTAAGTATATTATGGTTACAAATCATACACTATGTTTTGGACTTTCGCTGATGCAACATCAACCGATGTTTTCAATTAGATGTGTATCCAGAGAGTTAACGTCTTTGTTAATCTAGGTTTGGAATTTATTCAACCATGGACATCAACTTCAAAGAGTTAGCAAGAGACTCACCTGTAGTGTTCCATATGTCACATCATGATGTAATTGGACTAGCACCCTGCTACTTCTTGAGTTTCACCCATGTACTCCTTGTCCTCTTCGCAACATATTTTTTTATGTTCTATGACTGACGATATTTCGAAGGCTTTTTTAACTCCCAGTGCAAGTACAGTGAGAGATTGCGTGTGCACAAATTGTTGCGCCATTAGATAACTCGTTTCAAACCCTGGACTCGGAGTCGGTTCTGACTCTGATATCAGGTGGGGATGGATTCGCCACAACAGAATCCGTGTCAGACTTACATATCCCAGGTTCGCCCAGTGCTCTAAATGGTATGATAGTCACAATTACTGTACGAGAAAGCCATATTTTCAGCCCACTGAGTTTTCATGATCTATTTCAGTCGGTTGGTAGGTGGTTCCATTACTTTACACACATTCGAAGCTTTCTTCCATGATGAGTTCTCATCTGAATTCTGCCGCTGTATCACCGTAGACCTCGATTGTACCTTCAAGTACAGAACACACAGGGGGAATCATCTGGCGATTGAGAGGGTCGAGGTCTGACAACTCTTCTATTCCGAAGCCTGAGATCATCCACAGTGTCATGGAAGAAAGCCGATTTCATTCTTTCCATTCTCTCGTCTAGTAAGAGCTCTTGCAAGACGTTGTCGGTTCGGTGATTTTTATTCAACAGAACACAAAATTGTCGATACTGCTCTGTCGGTTCCGGTTTATGCTCTGAACGCTTTTTCCAGACACTCAGTGCGCTGCGCGCAAATGAGGATGAGCTCATGACTTCGAGCTTTCGCCATCCTTCTAGGGCCTTCGTTTCAGTCAAGCTAACAGACCCAGAATGTCACATGGTCCACAGTGTAGCATTAAAGTCTGTAATCAGAAAATCACAACGATAAATCCCTCAATCTAAACCATAAATCATCCTCGAGCCTATGGGTGTCCCCACCCTTGCCTCCAACCTCGAAACAGTCTTCATGCCAAGCCCATGGGACGGGCAAGGCATCAGTGATCAAGGTGTTAACTGAGACAATGTCCATCTTTGGAATCGAAAGTCTCTTGCAGAATGAAACAAGCTCGACTCTATGTGTCTCTACCAATATATTACTGACCTCACTAAGTGAATGCATATATTTCCAATATTACACCGCTTTCCTATTATACTAAGACACAAGTGTATCTAACCTTATGCGAAACTCCAGTTACAACCATCTAGCTCGCCTTGAACTACAATCGCAATGGCAACAACCATTCGGACCGAGTTTCATCCCATTGACCACATCTTCTTTGTAACTTCTCGGTGTCATGTACAAGCCATGTTCTAAAAGCGTAACCTTGTATTCTTCTGTTTTTCTTGGCCCGCATTCTGTCGCCGCCTCCAAAATGCAGATCCTTCAGCTCCGCATGCAAAGTCTATGCCACTACAACCACTCCGTCTAGTGCACTGGTCGCACTGCGCAGGTAAGTACTGCGATTGATGGTTCGGGACCAAAAGGGATTTCCTTCAAGCATTCACTCCTGCTTGTCAAGATCCATACAGAGAGCAAACATTCTCGTCCAACAACCGCGTCCGTTTCTTCGATCTTCTCTACTCTGTCTAGGGACAGAGATTGCGAACAGCTGGGCATTATTCAAGCTACTGATAAGCCTTACAAAGTTCTGGAGTTTTCCCAATTGTGCTCGCCAGGAATGAACTTTCCTGCGCCATGACAACCTCGTGGGTCTTAGGCAGAAAGATTAATCTCGGGCAACCAAACATTCTTGGACTCCTACTTTTCATAGCACATCTCTAGGATAATATTTGGCGTCCTGGCAGCATGACCCAGGCTGCTGCAGGGAGGCTCTTGAGCCTAGATTTTGTCCATAGCTGCCACCTCAGTTCTCTCACTAATTCTCAAATTATTTTACTTCTTTTGCTTTTCTGTTATGCATCAAATTTGTCGAACTCCCACATTGTGGCCGTGCCCAGATGTGGGCTGATGCTCATTTGCTCTCCATACAAGCTCGTACCAAGAGCACAACCGAATCTGCATTTGAGCACACGGTTCGAATCGAGGGTTCATCATATCATTCATGGAGGAGGAGAGGAGAGGATGGCATTCCATTCCACAGTTTCCTCTTGGGGCCGAGAGAGTCATGGAGATCAAGCTTGCTCAGGGATGAAGTCACCTTTACATCATATCAGATTGAAGATCTCATGCTTTAGGAACCTGTGAAGAAGTGGAGAAGCGTCGAGTGAAGGAAGTTCCTGTGGCAAGTTCACAATCAGTATCAGGTCCCAAGATTCTCCAACACAATGGGAGCGACGATTGTATAGTCTTTCAGGCGTCTTGTCAAATACATATTTTTTTCTTAATATTGGTAATGACACGGGGGTTGGGATGTTAGTAATTCTTGAATAAGATCTACCATTTTCCCTTGTAAAATAAGATTTGGTAGAACAAATATAGTCTATCTCTAATTCTGTTACTTGTTACGTTTTCATGATGTTAGTGCAACACAAATTTTTCCAAAGTGTCATTTTTATGTTTTTTCGCGGTAGAGAGAATGATTCTTGTACACTGTTCATGATTCTTTAATTATGTGGTTTGGTAAGTTTTTAAGGCCTTACGATGACTCATAATGACATTGGCAGCAACTCGACATGCCTTAGACGGACTGTGATCACATCACCTCTAATAAAAATGGAAACATGAAAACAATAAGTACTACCAATTGATATTTATCGTTCGCATGTTTTATATTTCTTAAAATTTATGAAGTATTATTCGTGATGATATTTTGAAGATTTGTTTCATTATTTTCCATGGAAAAAATGATGTGATCTTCACATCTCACATGCAATCTTTCTTACGAGCTATCGATGGTAATATACTATTTTAACCTCTACAAAAGAAGAAGAAAATTGTCTGTATTGTCCTCTTCTTTCAATACTCCCTGATCTTTCTTAAAAAAAATCAGCATTAGGAGGTGAAACTAAACTAAACCAGTTATTTTGTTGACTAGAGTTAACAAAATAAACGGATAGAAAATGATATTTCTGATACGTGTCAAAGGCAAGGTAGAAATATGCATGTAATGCTGATAGAAAAGTGCTATAATCCATTTCCGGAATTTGGTAACCTAGGAGTTACAAAAAATTCAGTACGATCAATTTAAAATCGTTTTTCTATACATGGCGCTGGTAGACCGTAGCTAATGTTTCTCTCGCAATATGATTATATTAGAGGTAAGTCTGATGAAGAATCATATTCAGTTCCAAACTGTCTATATATATACATCAAAGTTCTAAAGTGAAGCCCAATAAAACTAAGGGGACAGTAACAATGCATATCGAATGAATCAAATAAAATGGGAAAATCTCAAGCTTTCTCTCCTTAATAA